TGCAATACCCTGGAGTCAACAAACTGAGTTGTACCTGCAGTAGCAGTTACATTGGGGAACGAAACGACATGTCTCAGACCGTGTTCGCGAACACAAGGCAGATCTGAAACATGGCAGAACCAATACCTTTGCCGTAGCTGACCATTGTTATAACGCTGTGGGCTCGCGTGATATTGTTTTTTCCGAGACCAAGGTACTCTGAAAGCCTTCGGGCTACTATCAAAAGTTTGTTCATGAATACTCTTTGGTTCTATTCGGTAAAGTCACGTAGGTAAAAAATAAAACAAAAAATCACGACGTTTCGGCCACAGCACAAGCGGCCTTCATCAGGTGAAGGGATCAGGCTGTCTCGAGGACAGCGCTGGAGTGGAACACAGCCACGCTCAGACCGCGACCTTTAAGCTGTGTGCGAGGAAACAAGGTGCCTTGACAAAGGAATTAGCATAAAAAATTAGCATTTGATTGCCCGACTTAGCATAGAAGTGGTGTACATGCAAGTGCACATGCCGGTTGGCGCGGGGGGGGGGAGTTTCCCTATTGATGGTGTGAAAAGGGAATTCAAGAGCTGCGAAAGTTTGGGGTACCACTACTTGAAAAATATACTGTACCATTGAAAATTAGTTTAATGTTTGGTTCGATTTAGAACATCTTTCCAATGGTTGCTTAATTTAAAACCATCTTCTCGGTTGAAATTGTGTCTGTGCTTGTAGATCTGAATTACCTCGTGAACAAACCCACGGGTTTTTATCAGAGATTTGTCCACGAGGCAATTCAGATCTACAACCGGCATTTGCACTTGCATGTACACCACTTCTATGCTAAGTCGGGCAATCAAATGCAAATTTTTTATGCTAATTCCTTTGTCAAGGCACCTTGTTTCCTCGCACACAGCTTAAAGGTCGCGGTCTGAGCATGGCTGTGTTCCACTCCAGCGCTGTACTCGAGACAGCCTGATCCCTTCACCTGATGAAGGCCGCTTGTGTTGTGGCCGAAACGTCGTGATTTTTTGTTGTTTTATGTTTTACCTACGTGACTTTACCGAATAGAACCAAAGAGTATGGATCCTTGCAGTCACGAAAGCTTTAAATCTAGTTTGCTCATGAAGCCATCCAGATATATAAACAGACAAAACTTCAACCGAGAAGATGGATACAAATTGAACAAACATTGGAAGGATGTTATCAACCAGGTAATGCCTTCACTTCTTGTTGTTTATCGTACCTGCCGGTTTACTGTTAGCCCCGCCCACGCCCCCCCCCCCAGCCTCACGTCCTCCTCTTCTTCCACCACCTTCCCACTTCTAGCCCCGCCTACTTTCCCCCCCTCCAACCTCACGTCCTCTCCCCCGAGCGCTCACGCGCCCCCCCCTCCCCCTACCCCACCCCCCCTCTCTCTCTCCCCCCCTTGCCTCCCCCCCCTCTCTTACCTATACAGGTAGTCCCCGACTTACGATGGTCCGACTTACGATATTTCAATCTTACGATGGCGATAGCGACATGACAAAATTGTAAAATATTTTTTTATTTCGCGTGGCAGACAAACACAGCAGCGTACGAGGTACGATACTGTACTTTATCATCGCCATCCTCCTCTTCCGACAACTAAGTTAATGTAGCCATCAACAACCTAACATCATTCAAGTATGCAGACGACGGACAGAATCTTGATGAGTACAGTAGAATATGATACATTACGATACGTTCAATGCATGTATGATACATAGCTGTAGCGATTTCATTTTAGGGTTACCACGATACGATACATACGTTCAATGTATGTTAAAAGTTTTTATAGCAGATAGGATTATTTCCTAAAAAAGCTTTCTATGAAATTGCATTTCATATAGGTAGGTTAAGAATTTACCTCATTGTTTACTTGAAATTTTACTGTGCAATACAGTATTGTAATTAATAAATACATACAGTATATAGTTTATACAGTACGGTACTGTAAATTGCTCTGTTTTGCTAAATTATCACCATTCTTTAAGACTCCTGGGAAGGCTAGGCCATTTTCGACTTACGATGGGGTCGTCGTAACGCATCTCCATCGTAAGTCGGGGACTACCTGTATAACCTCTTGCCACGGCAGCTATCCCAACGACTTCAGCATTTTCTTGCTGTGCTTGTCCCACCTGATGAAGTTCGCTTGTGTTGCGATCGAAACATCGTTATTTGTTTTATTTTATTTCTACCTACATGACTTTATCGAAAGAACCAAAGAGTATCTTAACACCTGTTTTGTTGCCAGAAAAAAGGGGAAAAACCCTATTATAATATTTTGGTACTGGCAAAGGAGATCCCATGATAAATAATTTATTTTTCAACAAGTGACGAGCCTGGTATAACGTGGGACCGTTTATGTTCAAGGTATCTTCTGCGTAAATTTGAGTGCCGTGCTCATGTTTTCGTACCGGACGCCACTACGCAAGGCACGCAACCCCCATTTTTCCTGGATGTCTGTGCACTTCGGCCATAGTAACGCGGAGTCATGGGTTTCATAAAAACCCAAGCACGTCATTCCAGCACCTTGAAAATTTACATGATAAAGGCGATTTACTTTTAACACCCCAAAACGGCAACACACGCGCACCTCCATATCATCTGAATCGGTTACTCGCGAACTCTGTATCATTCCATGGCGCACAGTCGAGTGTGTTCGATCTACGCGGCATGCCATCTGGCCCAACTTCGTGGGGAGGCGCGACCGAGGGAGCTGTTGAGAGGTCCGGCGGTGGGGGCTGACGGCCATCTACTGTCGTCAGCGCGGGCGCGGACCAACGGAGAGAGGGGGGGGAGGTGGGGGACTGGATCGGCCACTGAACGGCACGGAGGGGAGTTCGTCCATCCTCACTTGCGAAACAGTGACCTTCTTTCCTAGAATTCTGAGTATACCGCAGCGTACCTGGGACTTTGCAAAGCGCTGATCTCAAAGATCACGAGAGGGGAAGTGGTGTAAATTCTACCGTTGGGTTACACACCGATTATTTAGTTTGATTACTCCCGCTCAGTGCTGTCATTTGACATCCCCGGTTATCGCGGCTCCGAGTGGCAGTGGGTTCACTACCAATACTGTAGTTAATATTTTCTATCCACTGCTGGATGAAGGCCTCCCAAACGCTGTCACCTTGTAAACACGATGCATCTCACTCCTACAAAAGCTGGTCTCATCGCTCCATCTCCGTGGTTGTCGTTCCCCTTGGGTGCGTGCACTCCTTCGATTGCCATTCTATCACCAGTCTTGTTCGTCTGCTGCCATCGCTTCTGATGCCTCCTGACCAAGCCCACTTTACTTCCCTCAACGATCAATATGATGTTGCTGATCCATGTGTCTGTGAGTGTAATTCCAATCAAATATAAACACATACAAACAATACCAAAACAAGTTACAAAGAGTGGCTGCTATGAAATTAGAATTTAATGCTGTTTAGTATCTTGCCAGTGCAGCACAATCACCAAATGGTGATTCCTGTTGGACTGGAAACAGCTGAGCACCTCCCATGCCCTATGTGGCATTACCTAATGCAGTGCTCATGTAAAGCCCAGGGCCCAATGCAACCCCTTACACAAATACTTATCCGTCTCTCCCGGAACATCGCTGTGATTCTAACTCCAACCTGCGTAACTTTCTTACAATGGAAGATCAATCTTATCAACAGCTGTTTCAGCTACAAATACGAGGCCAGAGAGTGAGAGAGAAGAAATACTATGAGGTGGGCCACAGAAGAAATGAGACGCGGAGATGGGAGGAGCGATAGAGACATAGGACGAGATGAGCGCCAGAGTGACATGGAGAGAGAGAAATAAACACAGGAGTGAACCAAGGGACAACAGCGATATCGGAGACAAACATTTTATACAAAATTTGATTCAATTCTATTCTTGCATCTGGCAATGTGTTTAGGATCTACGGTGGCAAGATGTTAACTACCTCGCCTGGTATACAGGAGGGCGCGAGTTCGATCCCAAACATGACACCTGTATATTTGGAGTTTGCATTTCTCTTACCCCTTTGATTGCGTGGATTTTTCTCTGGATACTCCGGTTTTCCCCTCCACATTTAGAAACATCCATTTAGAGTATATGGCTGCAATACATTTCCACATGATAAGCCACTACTTTGAGCTTTCATTTGTGGCTAGGTCGCTTCTGAAAATAAGCTATGTAGCTCAGTGGGCCTTACCTGGTAAAAATTAAAATAGTTTAAATAGTAAATGCCAATGTTCAAGTCTTTTAGCCACGAGAGGGCTTCAGGAGTTCGTGTAGTATTGCTATTCCTCTGTTGACGGAGCGCAGACTACAGCGGTCTTACTATATTGTCCATAGTTTGGGTACCATGGCCACAATCGCACTACCGTGGCTTGTGTCTTTAATCGTAAATTTTACACTCATGAAGGAGATGTGTGCATCGGCCTGTTGATGTTCTGATGCAGTTGATGGTGACACACCACCAGTATCTTTGAGGCGGAATTTCAAAGCCAGTAGGTGCAAAATATGTGGGTCTTGAGTGAGTTGTTTATTCTACAGATGAAAAGACTGAAGAGTTCACACAGACAATGGACAAAAAACAAACACACTGAAGATCCACATGGAAACAGAAAAGAGACCACATTGAGGAATCTACCAGGCTAGAGAGATGCACACAACACGAGAGACGCACAAACACGAGAGGAAGTTCTGTATGACACCAGATAATTCGAGCCTCGACAACCGGTGAGATCGATTCTCCGAAACGCAAGGGATTCTGAAGCCAAGCGAACGCCTCCCTCCGCCACCAAAGACTTTGCGTGTCCCCCACGTGTCCTGCGGACACCACCGGGATTGAGCAGTGGTGTCTAGCACAATCTACCTGCTGTAGATTACGAGGTTTAAAGCCCAAGAGAAGACCATCTCTCTTAGAGAGCGTACGGACTCCTACTCAGGCATGTTTAAGACGCAGCAATGCGTGCAAGGAAACCAGTCGATCAGCGTGGAGTGTTGTTCACGAATGGTAATCCTTACGTGGGTCCCTTCGGGGGGTACATGCCACTCCGGCACTCTTCGGTGTACTGCACAAACCACACACAGAAGCAACACAACAATAAACGCCATTCGCCACTAGGTGGCAGTGCAACACAAAGACAATGATCCCCCGTGTAGCCTTAAAAGACTGTTGGGGAAAGTGCTGTTAGCGAGTACCTATTTAGGTAGGCACTGCACATGAGGGGGGGGGGGGGTGGCCAGCACCACGCCCGGCCACCTTTGTCTCCCTCGTGGCGATGTTTTTATACGTCGCACTAGGTACTGATTTAAGGGCTGAGTCGACCTAGGGGAGGCCCAGAGCCGGTTCAGATAATCGTCACCGGTGTTGGCCGTGAGCGGGAATCGAACCCGGGTGGCCAGGTTCGTAGCGCAGCGTAGCGCTAACCACTACACTACCGCTCCTCACAGTCTCTGTGTGTTGTTACACCACACACACTAGCTGTAGTCGTGACTAGCTGTAGGAGTGTAGCTGTAGTCGTGACTAGCTGTAGTCGTGACGAGCTGTGGTGACTAGCTGTAGGAGTGTAGCTGTAGTCGTGACTAGCTGTAGTGACTAGTTGTAGGAGTGTGGCTGTAGTAGTGACGAGCTATAGTGACTAGCTGTAGGAGTGTGGCTGTAGTAGTGACTGGCTTTAGTAGTGACTAGCTGTAGTAGTGACTAGCTGTAGGAGTGTGGCTGTAGTAGTGACTGGCTTTAGTAGTGACTAGGTGTAGTAGTGACTGGCTGTAGTTGTGACTAGCTGTAGTGGTGACGAGCTGTAGGAGTGACTAGGTGTAGTAGTGACTAGGTGTAGTGACTGGCTGTAGGAGTGACTGGCTGTAGTAGTGACTAGGTGTAGGAGTGACTGGATGTAGTAGTGACTAGGTGTAGTGACTAGGTGTAGTAGTGACTGGCTGTAGTAGTTACTAGGTGTAGTAGTGACTGGCTGTAGTAGTGACTAGGTGTAGTAGTGACTGGCTGTAGTAGTGACTAGGTGTAGTAGTGACTAGCTGTAGTGGTGACTGGCTGTAGTAGTGACTAGGTGTAGTAGTGACTGGCTGTAGTAGTGACTAGGTGTAGTAGTGACTGGCTGTAGTAGTGACTGGCTGTAGTAGTGACTAGGTGTAGTAGTGACTGGCTGTAGTAGTGACTGGCTGTAGTAGTGACTGGCTGTAGTAGTGTAGCTGTAGGAGTGTAGCTGTAGTAGTGACTGGCTGTAGTGGTGACGAGCTGTAGTAGTGACTAGGTGTAGTAGTGACTAGGTGTAGTAGTGACTAGGTGTAGTAGTGACTGGCTGTAGTAGTGACTGGCTGTAGTAGTGACTAGGTGTAGGAGTGACGAGCTGTAGTAGTGACTGGCTGTAGTAGTGTAGCTGTAGGAGTGTAGCTGTAGTAGTGACTGGCTGTAGTGGTGACGAGCTGTAGTAGTGACTAGCTGTAGGAGTGTAGCTGTAGTAGTGACTGGCTGCAGTGGTGACGAGCTGTAGTAGTGACTAGCTGTAGGAGTGTATCTGTAGGAGTGTAGCTGTAGTAGTGACTGGCTGTAGTAGTGACTAGCTGTAGGAGTGTAGCTGTAGGAGTGACTGGCTGCAGTGGTGACGAGCTGTAGTAGTGACTAGCTGTAGGAGTGTATCTGTAGGAGTGTAGCTGTAGTAGTGACTGGCTGCAGTGTCTCTCGGCTCACCGGTGGTACGAACTGGGCTCCCGCCAGCAGGGCGCCAAGCAGCGCTCCTAGCGCAGGCAGCAGCCTCATCGCTGATCGACTCGCACGGTGAACTGTGCTGGTGGACTATGACTCTGCTGGTGGACTATGACTCTGCTGGTGGACTATGACCCTGCTGGTGGACTGGGACTCTGCTGGTGGACTCGGGCTCTGCTGCGCCTCCACACCGCGTCTGAGTCGGCGCTGGCCCGGCTCGATCTCCCTGCACTGGCTTCCGCCTCCCGCGTTGATTCACCGATCCAAAAAAATCACGCAAATTGATGACGTACTTTCGATTCTTATCGAATTACAGCTTCTTTTAATGATCAATAATCAGCAGCTTCAGGCTGACGATCGGGAAGAATGATATCGAGACAAATCGTTGATGTCGGGCACAGACGAGAGAGGGAGATAATAGAAAAGAGGCGGTGATAGCGAGAATAAAGGGAATCGATTCTTGACCACACAATAAAAATCGCCTCGCGGCCTCATCACAGCTGGTGGAGGAGTGGGGGGGTCACGTGCCGTATCACTTCTGTCTGCAGACCGCGGCGAGGTAAGGGGCCGTCCATAAATGACGTCACGCACCTGGGGGGGGGGGGGGGGGTCAGACATTTGTGACGATGTGTGACGAGGGGGGGGGGGGGTGATAAAAGTGACGTCACATCAAAATGCGCAACTTTAAATAAATATAGCAAACACGTTCTACTTAATTAAATAGACTTTTTAGTAAATGTTTCTCCTACAACATCAGAGTGCAGCGCCACATTAAATACGCACTACAATGACGAGCTTAAAGCGATTTGAAGCATGTTTTATTTGGGGGGGGGGCAGAGCTTTGTGACGTCATATTTGAGGGGGGGGTCTGACTTTTTGTGACGCCGTGTGACGAGGGGGGGGGGTCAAAAATCGTCCAAAATCGCGTGACGTCATTTATGGACGGCCCCTAAAAGAAAAGGTAAAAACGAACCTACCTTTACCCTACCTTTTACCTTACCACAATACAATCACTCTATCTGGCAACAAAACTGACACCTTTTTTTACAAGGAGTCATGTTTGCATTGACCACAATACCTGCCGGTCGGAATGCAAACAAAAAACGCAACTCTGATAATGTATTGGCACTGTCCCTGAAATTGATTGGTCCACACCCGAGATACCTTGTGAGACTAGCGCTCTAAGGAAAGCTGTTGGACCAGATGACGCCAAAAGGCGCACAACTCAAAGACAATGCACCAATCAGAATATGAGAGCTCGGGGTAAGCATTTACACCATTGGAACCTCCTTTGCCAGTAGCAAAATATGATTCTTGTTTTTTACCCTTTTATCTGGCAACAGTATCGCTTACCCCGAGCTCTCATACTCTGATGGTGCATTGTCTTCGAGTTGTGCGTCTTTTGGCGTCATCTGGTCCAACACCTTGTAAGACTAGGCTCTAAGCCTCTAAGGAAAGCTGTCTCGGATGTGGACCAATCAGTTTCAAGGACAGTGCCAATACATCATCAGAGTTGTGTTTTTTGTTTGTATTCCGACCGCAGGTATTGTGGTCAATGCAAACATGACTCCTTGAAAAAAAAGGTGTCAGTTTTGTTGCCAGATAAAAGGGTAAAAAACCAATGATCATATTTTGCTACTGGCAAAGGAGGTTCCAATGGTGAATCACTCTATCCTTACCTTTTACCCTTTAGCAAGGTAAGTTAAAAGGTCAAAAGCAACGAGCCTACCTTTACCCAAGGGGCAGTCCATAAATGACGTCACGCGATTTTGGCCGATTTTTTACCCCCCCTCCCCCCTCGTCACACGGCATCACAAGAAGTCAGACCCCCCTCAAGTATGACGTCACAAAGCTCTGCCCCCCCCCTCCTCCAAAACCATATTTCCATTTTGAAAATAAACATGCTTCAAATCACTTTAAACTATTGTCATTGTAGTGCGTATTTAATGTGGCGCTCCACTCTGATGTTGTAGGAGAAAACATGCATTAAAAAGGAGGCGTTGGAAAGCTGAAATTTAGCATATAATTCACTTGAAAATATTCAACGTCTAACTAAAACTGCAGATGTTCAGAATATTATATATAAATTCTCTTAAAATTATAAAATAATGAAAGTAATAACTATTTAAAAAATACTTGATACGTAGTAGAATGAAGCAAAATGGAGAGTACAATTATAACAATCATATATTCATTCCACAAAATGAAAAGCCCTGGTAGAATCATTAGAATCAAAATGTATAAGAACAATCATTAAAACATTTTACAAAATGTATGCCTCTCCATTCTCTCATGGAGAAGCAAAAATGCTCCTTCATGGAATAAATAAAAGGTGACCTTAGTAAATTTAAAGAATCAAATAGTTAATCATCAAAATTTATAAAAATTAGTGTTGTTATAACAATTCGATTCAATCTATATTTATTTAAAGTTGCGCATTTTGATGTGACGTCACATTTCTCCAACCCCCCTCGTTCCACATCGTCACAAATCTCTGACCCCCCTCCCCCCCTAAGTGCGTGACGTCATTTATGGATGGCCCCCTACATTTTACCCTTACCCCATACAAATTACCCGATTACAGGGTAATTACTGGGATACTACACTCTCGAATCGGGCGTTGAGGCGGTCGACGACACCGTCCTCCATAACCGTCACCGGCACAAGATCCAATGCCGACTTGCGGTCCGCCGCCATCGAGGTTATGACCTGGCGCGGAATGCTGTCACGCCCTCGATGTTTGCCCACTGCAGTTCAGAGAAAGCACCTACGCCGATCACATCCTGGAAGCACGCCATAATTTCCAATGGGACACGCTTCTTGATGGCGTCGCCGCCCACGTCAAACGTTAAATTCTACCTGGTCGGCGAGTCCTGGTGCGTCGGCTCCTTGCTGGCGAGCTTGGCGATCTCGGCCTCGCGGCGGTACGACTGCCGGACGACCTTGCTGCGCCTGATATTGACGAGCGCCTTGCGCAGTTCGGCGTTGGTCGACTTGATCAGTTTGAGAACTTGGACGACGCCGATCTGGACCGAATGATCCACGCAGCGAATATGGTGGCATGCCCGCAACTTCCCATAGCCGGCGTCCGCGTTGACCAGGGCGAACAACGTCTTGATAGCACTGATCGCATCGGAGCCATTGTCGCTGGTGACAGCGAGCAGCTTGGTCGAGACATTGCGCCCGAGGATTTGGAGGTGCTCAGACAGAGTGGTGCCAAAGCGCTTGCCGACACCCCTTCCGGACTGCACATCGAGGATTGTCAGCAGCATGGAATTCGACACACCAGATTTGGTGTCGATCCAGTGCACCGTGACCATCCAAAATCCCTTTAGGTTGCGGTTCGACCACTCGTCGATGGTGAGCGAGATGACGACATCCAGGTTGGAGAAGAACGCCCCGACGATGGGCAGCATGATGGCGTGATGCTCGACAATCCTGCAAATCTTCTTTGGTGCTTTCGGTAAAGTCACGTAGAATGAGAATAAAATAATAAATTGATAAAATAAAATAACACAATAATATTCTCACGACGTTTTGGCCACAACACAAGCGGCCTTCATCAGGTGAAGGGACGAGACTGTCTGGTAGGACAGCGATGGAGGGAAAAAGCCACGCGCAGATCACGACCTTTAAGCTGTGTGAGAAGAAACAAAGCGCCTTGACAAAGGAATTAGCATATAATTTAGCATTGAAATGGCTGAGTGATTAGCTTGTGACTGGTCACAGAAATGGCTATGTTAAAGTTAAAGCATACACATTCACCGAGGCACCTAGTACAAATCAAACAGGAGAATTTAGCATTGAAATAACTAGGCGAATTTAGCATTGAAATAACTGAGTGATTAGCTAGTGACTGGTCACAGAAATGGCTATGTTGAAGTCAAGGCCTACACATCTGAGCTATTCACAGTAACTGGGTATACAATACAATATATATAATGAATACTATATAGTGAACCAATAAAAAAACTAAAATATAAATTACCTTAATGTTAGCAATAAACTCTATATTCTCCAATCAGCTAAGCTACCAACAATAAGTCGTTATATATCACAATGCTACATGGCTGCCACTATGTCGACCAAATGTAGGGACAATTTGATTTCCAAATTCAATCACCTCTCCAGCAAAAAATCGGATCCACACACCAAAAAGATAGACGTCAACAAAGTCGTAATTAATCGCAGTAACAGTTCCATTTCTGATGGTCTGAAATCCGTTTTAGCTAAAGGTCTAAACTTTGCTGTCACACCGAGACACCTACCGGTTAATGATATCATTCCCATGTCGACGTTGCACTCAAGGGCTTGAGTCACATCTCTGCAGATCTGAAATCGCTGCAACCCTCAAAAACTCTAAGTTGCCACCCAGCAACATCAGCAAAGACGAACGTTTTGAATTATCTCAATTAAAAAAGAGGGATGATATTGTCGTCCTCTCAGCCGACAAGGGCAATGCCACTGTCATCATGGACAAAACAGAATATAACAACAAAATTCAAGAACTTCTCAACGATGTCAGCTATACAAAAATAAAAAGAGATCCCACCAACAGCCTGGTTACCAAAACCAACAAAATCATCTCTGATTCAACAGCATTAATTGATGAGATCAAACAGTTCTCGTTGAAACCCTCTGCTGCCAGACCACCAAGATTATATGGCCTTCCAAAGATAAACAAAGAAGATACACCCCTTTGTCCCATCGTCTCTACTATCAACTCCCCCACCTATAAACTGGCACGTTTTCTTGCTGATATACTGCGACCTTTCACTGGAAAAACCACCTCTGCGGTACTAAATTCTACTCACCTGGTATCGACAATCAAAGGCATTTCCCTGTCCCCAGACGACCTGCTTGTCAGTTTTGATGTGGTGTCCTTGTTCACCAAAGTCCCGGTACCTGACACCATCGCTATCATTGAAGACCTGGTTCATCAAGGACTGCATACTGATGTACCCCCCCTGGTGAGACATTGCTTAACCAACACATACTTCACCTGGAATGGAACTTTCTACACACAAACTGAGGGCACCCCAATGGGCTCCCCCCTATCTCCGGTTGTAGCCAACGTATTCATGGAAAAATTTGAAACTGACGCCAACCAGACTGCCACTCTACACCCGACCTTATGGAAGAGGTACGTGGATGACACCTTTGTCATCTGGCCACATGGCCAGCCTGCTCTAGACCAATTCCGCGACCACATCAATTCCATACACCCAGCCATCAGATTTACCATGGAGGTCGAAAAAGATGGCAAACTACCCTTTTTGGATGTCTTAATTAAAAGGAGACATTATGGTTCAATGAGCCATTCTGTCTACAGGAAAGCTACCCATACAGATGCTTACTTGAAACCTGATTCCCACCACCATCCATCCCAGAAGAACTCCCTCATCAAGACTCTATA